TTTTTTTTTTTTTTTTTTTTTATAGTTGTTCGCTTGGAGGGTAGGGGGTTGTCCATGGCGGATGGGTATGGTCATTACCTTTTTGGGCCTTTGTGGCATGACCATACACTCCGTTGAGTGTAAGTTTGGTGTTGAGTCTTGCTGTACTTTAGAGGCCCCTTTAGGTGTTGTTTCTTGGTGGTTTGACCAACGGTGTGGTCCATGAATGCCGCAAGAAATATCTGTAATAAACTCGGTATCCTCTGAAGGACAAAAACTTTTCCATGCTTGTTTAGTGCCCTAGTAGCCAATCATAACATCAACAAACGATTCTCCATTAAAGCAAGGGTCTATATTGACCATAAGGGGAATCTTGGAAGATGATGATATTGGGACTTCTGCTGGTATGAAACCCCATGTGTTTTTCTCAATACAAATGGTGGCTTCCATGAGGTCCACTCTCGATGAGGTTTTTTTAGCAATCTCAACAAAACCTCCAAAGGCGGTCTCCTATGTGTTTCAAAGTTTCAATGTCCAAACAATTAAGAGGCAGATTTTTTATTTTAATCCAACCTCCATAAGAGAGAACTACGGGGTCATTCAGGGTCTTTTCATTTGACCATGGTTCTAGTTTCACAGCGTAGGGGTTTAGTTGGAAAAAGTCATTGAGTATGCATTGGATGCTTCTGATTATCATAAACCAGTCATCGTGAAAATGTTTCTGAGTGACAGTTACCATCGTATCCCATACAGTATGAATGGGGGAGGGGAAACTCATGGTTGATCGTCTTTGCTTTTTTGTTTAGAATCGAAAGACATATTTCTGCATCTATTTTTCTATTTTCTGGCATTTGTGGCAACTTTTTAATAACAGGCAAGGGTTGTAGGTCGATGGATATGCCAGTGGTCTTGTCTTCTACTATGAGATATTGAGTTTAGTTGATGATCTGGTTTTTTTTTAGTAGACAACAAGGAATAGTTTCCAATAAAATTGAAAAAAGCTATCCAACCATTCTGTTCTTCGCCCACTGGGACAAACAGTTTGTTAAGACCTCCATTTTCATGAAACAATGAGATTTCAGCCATAGTACTCTTCTTATTTGTGAGTTTTTTTTATCCAAATGGTCTGTTCCAGAAAACGTTTCTCCTTGAAGAATTTTTGGTTTAATGGAGCCAATAGTAGTGCTTAATAAGATGTTTTCAGCCATTGGAAAGAGTCCCATTTCAGTGATAGGAAAAAAGCTGTCTCGGGTGATTTGTAATAGCTTGATTCTTGTTCCCTGTATCTGTCATCTTACTCAATTGTATAGGTCTTCCTATCAATGACAGTTTTGCATCTCTGAAGTATTTGGTGTGATGCCATGAGTCAAAGGTTACAGTCAAATGGATTTGAAATCCTTGCTGGTTGATGGGTCAAAGGTTACTGTCCGAATGAAATCCTTGCTGGTTGATGCAAAATCCTTGCTGTCTGAGGTACAATCAGGCAAAAACAGCAACCTAGCTGCTTTTTGAAAAGCCGAGGAGGAAATCTTCAGAGATAGATTCCAAGGCTTTCTATTGGTGGCTGTCGGGGGGTGGCTGTCGTCGTGGGTTGGGCAAGCGTCGTCGTCGGAGGAGCGGCTGTACACGTTTACTGGCACTGGAAGTCAGAGGAGCGGCTGTCGTCGTGGTCTTCTTCAGTCGGAGGAGTGGCTCGCCGGCTGTGTAGGTGAGGGATTGGAGGGGCGGTTGTCATTATGGTCTTCTACGTCTTCCCCACCTTGGCACGGCGCCAAAAGTCGCAACTCTGTCTTCCGAAAGTCGCGAATCTTCGCTTCTGGAAGTCGCTACTTTGTAGGGAGGCACCAAGACGGCGGCTTCGGAAGTCGTAACTCTCTCTCTCTCTCTAGTTTTAACTCCCGCTAACATCTCATTTTCATAATAACAAGACTGTGAAAGTATTAGAAAATTTATACCAAGAAATGATGTGGTAAACAACATTTTCGAAGTACCTAGTATAAGTATGTGTCTTCGTTGTGAATACTTTTTGATTTCTATCTTTCATAGATTCTAATAGTAAGCCATAATGAAATTACCTTTTGCATTTTTGAAGGGGTGAGATGTTAAAGCCAATTTCAGTAACTCCTCTTTTACCTCCCTGGAAAAGTGAAATTCCATTCGAAGATATTGGGAATCTTTGTCCAGACTTGATATCGATATTTATATGTGCATTGTATAAATATATGGTTTTATGATTTGTTGTTTTTCTTGCACAATGGGCACTCATTTTGAAGTTGAGTCATGTAGGACATTCTTTTTTGTAGGTTTTTACTTGTACTAATGACTTTATGCACCGTTTTCCATAGTAGTTCTCCTTTCCATATTGCTCGTGTGAGGTTTATTACTTCTACCTTTCCCTTATGTCTATCATCAAAGATTTTATCAAAAAAAAAACTTCGTCAACACTAGGAAATCATTTCAATGAGCATGCTTCTTGAGATGAGACAATACTATTGGGGCAAGCTAAAGGCTTAATTCGCTTCATTCTATATCTTTGTTATCCTTTTAGGTTTCTACTGAATTTCAAGTCCTAGAATTTGTTTACATCTTACCATGTTTCTTTGACTACATCCTGATATTTTGGAGCCTGAAGGCCCTGAACTCCGGAATTCCTGTTTTCCTTCCTCAAAATTGATGTCAAGCATATGTGATATATTTTTTTATTTGCATGGCTTTAATTTCCTTTCCCTCTTCTTTTTTTCTTTTCTCTAAAGAATAATTCGTGGTTGGGATCACTGATCAGCACAATAATCGGAAATTTGAAGCTTTCGATATCAAACATCCACGTCAGATACGAGGATATTGAAAGGTAAAAAAGAATGTCTCTACTTCATGTGCTTGATTGATTTATTTAATAGCATAAGTTTCCATTTGCAGCAATCCTGGACATCCATTTGCAGCTGGTGTAAGCTTAGAAAAACTTTCTGCTGTTACCGTAGATGATGATTGGAAGGAGACTTTTATAACTGGTGGTGCACTTGATCGTATTCGTAAGGTTTGGTTCTTAGACATTTCATTTTTTTTTTATGTCCTTGTCCCCTTCTCTTTGTATTGGACATGAAATGCGATCTCAGTGTTACTATTGGAAAAGATCCAATTATGTGCAGGCTTTTTGAAAAAAACTTTAATAACACACAGAATGCTAAGGCTGGAGCGTTCAATTTGCAAACCTTTATAGTTGTTAACTGTTTATTTCTACTCTTATTTTTATTTTTCTGTAGGAAAACGGACTTTTAGTTGGTAAGTGAAAAGTTAAACTATAGCATTCTTCTTTTCTGAACCAAGAAATAGCTTTTTCATTGACAGATGAAGACATACAAAATGTTCAGAGAAGAAACCTTTGCTCAAAACAACAGCCACAAAAAGAGAAACCAACTTTAAACTGGTTAAAACGGCAACTAACCCACATGCTCAACATGCTTAAGAAACCAAACAAAAAAGATAAAATGATAAATCTGCACCCAAACTGCCAAAACCGAACAAGCAAAAACAGTAAACCAGCAGTCATTAAGTTTTCTGCAGGGTGAAGAGGTTGTGTGATGAAATTGAGAGGTGGTGAAGTTTTGCTTTTATGGTGTTGGTCACAGGGTCTTTTTGTATTTTTGTAATTTGATCTAGGTTTGATTTTTTGGATTAGTCTTTGGACTCCCTTTTTTGTTGATCTTGTTTCTCTGAATTCTTTGTATTTCCTTCATTCTTCTCAATTAAAGCTTGGTTCTTGCAATAATAATAAACAAAAAATAAATAAAACAAGAAAATTTCCTTCAGAGATAAAATCTTTATGGCATTAAGATAATCTTCAATCATATAGAACTATTCGATTGGAAAATATGGTAAGTGTGAGTCCTTGTTTTTTGGGTGATAATACTAAGTATGATAATCTTTAGATAATTGATGAACTTAGATGTCTCCTTTTGAGCCAATTTCAATTAAAGTAACCACTAAATTGCTTTCTTCCCGTTGCTACCCTTTATTTACTACATGAGACCCATGACATACAAACAGAAATTTTAGAGATGTGGTTAGGATATTGATGTGGATGGATAAGAGGTAAATTCATTTTAGTCTTGACTAAGTCATTGGTTAATCCTTTTAGTTTTCATGTGGGTTTTAGATTTCTTTTAATTCTCTATTAATGAGAATCCCTCTCATGTATTCTTCACGACTTTTTTGATTTATAATAAAGACAGGAGTTAATCTTGGTGTGAATCCTCCTTTTATCTTCATGGGCTACACCAGATATTACGGGGCCATATCTATCATTAGAAAGAAGTTGAGTTAGTGAAATATGGTTATCAATATGACACTTAAGAGTAAGGAGCGACTATTTATGGAACTAATGTTCTAAAGAATTTAGACCACTGAAGATTTGAAAGGAATTTGTGGTGAAATGTGGTTACAAATGGAGTGACTAAGAAGTTTCTAGAAATATTTTGTTGGGGAGCTTAGGCCTCTTGGATTGTTTAGGAAACTTGTAATTGTCCTTCCTAATATCAATCCCATTTTGAATTATTAGAAAAAAAGTTTGTAGCGAAATGTGTTCATAAATGGTGTCATAGGAAATTCCTAGAAATCGTTTTGTTGGAGAGTTTAGACCTCTTGGGTGGTTTAGGAAACTTGTAATTGTCTTTCTAACTGTCAATACAATTTCATTCGAAGTCCTTCTCACCATCTTAAAAGAGATGGAGAGACCTTTCTCCTCCCTCTCTCCATAAAACCCTAATTGTTTCCCATTAGCTGTCATTGCTTGGGACTGTTGTACATCGTTATCTCTTCACTTGTCGCTTGTTGTCCTCTATCTCGCCATTAGCCAGTTCTTTTTCTGTCCACTTTATTGGTCTATTTGACTTTTGCGCTAGTCTCCTCTCTTGGCTGTTAATCAATTGCTCTTTGTGAAGATGGAGAGACCTTTCTCCTCCCTCTCTCCATAAAACCCTAATTCTTTCCCATTAGCTGTCATTGCTTGGGACTGTTGTACATCGTTATCTCTTCACTTGTCGCTTGTTGTTCTCTATCTCGCCATTAGCCAGTTCTTTTTCTGTCCACTTTATTGGTCTATTTGACTTTTGCGCTAGTCTCCTCTCTTGGCTGTTAATCAATTGCTCTTTGTAGTCACTTTCTGCCATTTTTTGCCGTTTGGACGCCTTTTTGTGTGCCTCTTGTCAGTTTGTTTCTTTTTGTGTGCCTCTTGTCAGTTTGTTTCATAAGCTAGCAACACGTTGGTTGCCCTTTGTTGCCCTTCTGTTATGAATTTTGTTCATCCATCAGCTTGTTTGCTTTTGGTTTTCATTAGAACGTAGTAGTTGCTGTATTGAAGAGAGTTATTATCAAAGATATGGATTTAAACTCCTCCTTCAGGAGCAATTGTCAATTGTGTTGTATAGCTAATATTTGATGGAGGGAAAGTAATTAGTATGAAAAATGGGACATGAGCAAGCGTAGTAAACCAGAATTCATCAATGGCTATGTAGGTTGGACTAAAATCATGAACTTACCTCTCACTATTAAAATATGCGCAGTAGGTCATTACTTTGGTGATTTAATTCGTATTTCATCTAAGACCCTAATTTGTTGGATTGTAGGTCAACTTATATTGAAGTTCAAAAGAACATTTGTTGTTTCATTCTTGCCTCAATAGAAGCTATTGATCCAAGAAGGGAAAGTTTTTCCTTCAATTTGGGATATCACTTCAGCTGATATTCCTTCCATCTAATGTCATATGATATCACTTTAGATCTAAAATATTTTTTGAATCTGTAGGACATGACTCGAATTGGCTCGGTAATTGAAGATGAAAAGTCTCCTCAACATAGTTATTCACCACCTTTTGATGATTTATTAGTTCAATCACCATATTTTTTTGTATGCTAAATAGGAAAACTTAGAACTTCCTATTGCAATCGCTAATGTGACCCCTTTAGGTGACTCCCTTAGGGCGCTTGAGTTCTCTAAATTTTTAAGTGTTCTGGATGTGAAAAATTGTTTTGTTGTAGTTTATCCACAATTCTATACTTGAAGAATAGCGCGTCATTCTTCAATTCCTCCAATTACTGAGGATAATACTTTGAATCTAGATTCCGTTGAAGAAAATATTTTTAGTTGTTGGCACCATAATTCCAAGCCCCTTACGGGGCTCTAGTCTGCAACTTGGATTTAGAGGTAAATGGCCTAGTTAATAGGTGCATACGGAAGAATAGGATTATGATTTTGTCCACAAGATGACCCTAAAACGCTATAACCCATTGAAGCTACAAAACAAGTTCTGATTAGAGGATATTGAAGAAGAAATTGTAAGAATTGATGAAATAGAAATTCAATTAAATAAATACTTCCGTAAGTCAGTGAAAAGAAATCCAAGAAAATGAATCAAGAAAGAGTGGGTATGCTGAACGGAAGAAGGAAGAACAAATGGAAAAAAAAGAAGTGCTGGGTGTTGCCTGCTGGAATTTGAAAGGGCATGCAACTCAGACATTTGAGGCTCAAAAAATCTTCCTGAACATAATTAACCAGCCAGCTGGAACCCAAGTCAAAGGAATTACATGCAAAAACAATGGACAGGATAGTGGAAACCCCCTTGAAGCAAAAATTAGACTGTTTGGTTTGAGAAAGTAATGAATTTTTCCCACACTTTCAAGTTTGCATGAAAATTGAATCGTGTATTCAAGAAAATATTCACAGGGGGTCAAAATATCATGGGACGATGATTAAAGAAGTTGTTCCTTGCAATTACCCCTAGATGTACCAAGAATCTGTCGATTTTGAGAATTATGAAGAAAAAGTAACACACCCTACACATTTAACCAAGATAATCTACAAAGAAGTTTTGTGAGCTACAAAGGATACCTTGAGCTCATATTGGTCATCAGTTGAGAATTAGAAAGCTTCAGAATATGAAGCAAATTTTCAGATTAACAAGAATATTGATGGGAGAAAAATTGTTGTTGTCCTCGAAATGGGTTGAATGGGCAAGAAAAATGTTCCAATGATTTTTTTTAAAAAAAAAAGCTTTTCAGGCTATAACAAAATCCATGGAAGAACTACTCTTTGATGGATTTATTGATTATTCTTATGAGGAGAGGGTTCAACAACAATGAAGAACATCGAAGACCATGGAGGAACAATGTTTTCATGAATTTGATGAATATTTCAATGATGAAGATAATTTTTTTCCCTTGCTTGGGTAACTCCTTGCCGAAATGGTAGAATTACCAAAGGGAAAGAACGGGAAGATGTGCTATTACAATCTGAATTAGATGCAATTTGCGATTCTTCTCAAATGTGTTTTAACCAAGCTGGAGGATTTCTATTTATTTTTATTGATGGTTTTGGTGAGGATTTATGGCAAGTACACAAACTGGAGTAATTGATTGAAGACTTTCAGGTTAGATATTTTGCTTCTTCAAGAACCCACGATCCTCAAGATCAGATTTATGGATTGCGAATTATTTGGAAGTTTGATAAGTTATTACATTGAAGTATTGATGGGTTGTAAACAAAATATTCTTTGAAGTTTTGATGGAAGTTTTTTGGGCCTCATTCTTTTTGATTGTATGTGGTCTTTATTTGTTTTGGAAACTTGTATTCTTAGAATATTTTTTTTTCCTTTTCATATATCAATGAAAAGTTGTTTGTTGTTAAAAATTGGACTTGGCATACCTTTTCAATCATCATGAATATTCAAACAAAGATCTACTAACAAAAACCTCCCATTTAATTCATCAACTTCTTTATCTTTTATTACAACACTATGAAAGGTAAGTTAACAAAAACCTCCCAAACCTCCCATTTAACGGGATTTGGAGATGGATTCTTAGGAAAAAACCGATCTCCAATAGATAGAGAAGGCTGGATATATGATTTCACAATGTCCACATGGGAGGAATTATGGCTGCACTTCAAAGGTAAGTAAGTCAACCACGTTTTAAAAATCCATTAGGAACACCAATCACCTTCCTACCACCAAAAATTGGCAACACAATACAATAAGTAACTGATAGGGAAGAAAACCAACATTTTTGAATTCTGGTCCAAACTCATCTCTATCTTGGAGAAAAAACTGAGATGTGGGCCAAGACATCATTTCAACCATGGATTTTTTAGCCATCATGGATGAGAAAATTTAAAAAGAACAAACAATTTAAAATCTATATCTTCAATAAAAAATACTCGTTTTCAAACAAAATGCAATGATAACTCATCAATACAACTACTTCGATCCATTGAAAAAAAGAACAAAATGAAAAAATGGATATTGAGAATCAAATAGCAATAGACAATGATGATGGGTAGTGAACTTGACTAATGATAGACAACATGATCTGATAGACGACAAAAAACCATGAGTGTGGGATGAGAGGACGCAACTAGAGAAATACAAACATAGATTTGTGGGTGCAGGAGAAAAGGACACGGGCTGATGAACGGTGATTGGTAGAGGAAGAAAGGCCGTGAATGTGAGTTGAGAGGAAGAAGAAGAGAAGCAAAGGTAAATGGGTGATTAGCAGAGGAAATGCGAATGGGTTGGTGTGATGAACCAGGTTGTGGGCAAGATTACGTACTGTCAGAAGGATGGGAACAAAGAAGTTTCTCGGTTAGTGACAATGATCGACAAATCCACGGCAGATGACAACGACGGGGGTAGGGGTTGATGGAGAGGGTTAGGGTTTTTTCGGTAATGGAGAAGAGGGGAGAGTGCACAGGAGGAGAGAGAAGTGTTTTTTATTTTTTGATGAATAATAAACACTCTTTGGAGGGTCATTGGAGATTTGTCTCATTTGATGCTTGGTTGCATCATTTTCCATGCATTAATTTGCTTGTCTTTAAAGTTCTATCACTATATTGTATTTTTCTCTTGGTGCTTGCAATGATTTAACTAAATAAGGTTCATAATACAAGAATGGCCTGGGGTTCATGGTCATATAGAATGGTATGGTGCCAACAACACTATGAAAGGTAAGTTGTACCAAAGTTCAGCCCCAGAAAGGCAAGTTGCATATTGAATTAGTTTAATTGTTTTTTCTTTTCAATTCTTGTATCTGTTACTTTTTGTTGCCATTTTTCCTAATTTCAGCTTGTTGCTCATGTTTTGTTTCTTGTTAACAGTTTGTTGAACTCAACCAGTTAGCAGTTTATCTTGATTGTGATATATCACCTTGGTATATGGATAAACCGTGGGAGAATTTGCTTCCATCAGAATGGGACAAAGTACTCCACTTTTGCTCTTCCTCCAAGTGTTGGTGTCTTTTAATTTGGAAAATTAGTATTGTGTTTCTGATACCCTATTCCTTTTAGGTATTTCGCTTTGGTACCAAGAATGGGAAACCAGCTGAAGGTTTTGACAAAAAACACAGCTACATCTTGCAACCGGTGTCTGGATATGCAAGGTATACAAAGCTGCGGGAAAATGATCATGCTGATAGCCGTGAACCTCTACAGAAAGCATCAGTATATTTGGATGACGTGACACTCTGTTTGTCAAAGGTTATTATATATAGACATTTACATCTGAAACTCCCTAAACTGTAATTTGGCACATTAGAAACAAATTTTATTGGAAGAATTAATGAAATCCTTCGATGCAGTTATGAATTAGCAATCCCAACTCAAAATAGGATTTTTGTTGATATGAAAGGGGATCATTCTGAAAGTATTTTAATGTGGAAGCCTAGAGAGTAGTCAAAAGAAAAAAATTTAAACTAGAAAACGTCTTTCTGAATGATCTTTTTATATTTCTTTTTGCAGAATGGGTACAGAGATATCCTAAAATTAGTTGATAATTTTTCTGCGTTCAATCAACGATTAAAGTATGCTCATTTTCGGCCTCATGTTTCCGTGAAAACTGATCCTCGTTCCTGGTGGAAGTATGCTTTTAATTCAATCTCTGATCAGTTGAAGAAGGGAAGGTAATTTTGACCAGTTGTGCTGTTTTCTCTGGAAGGATTTGTCACCATTTGTTATTGAATTAAATCTTCTCATCTGATAAGAGAACACGAAGCAAAAAAAAAAAAAAAAAAAAAAAAAAAAAAAAAAAAAAAAAAAAAAAAAAAAAAAAAGAA